AAGGCGCAGGTGAGCGCCAGGCCGGGCACTGGGGCAGCCCCCCGCCCCCCGGAAGGCGCCCAGCGGCCACTGAGCATGGTTCGTCCCCAAGTGCCTCTGTTCCTTAAATATCTTCCCCCTTTGTCAAATTTTCTTTCCCTTTTTTAAACAATGTCTGTGGAAATGCACGGCTGGTAAAGCCCCCCGTCTGTGACCAGGGGTGTCTGCGGCCGGGCTCCGGGGCGACGTCCCCCACGCCTCCTGGTCGGAGGGTCTTGTGCTTTGGGGGGCGTTACTGGAGGGTCCTGTGCGGCAGCGTAGAGGGCGCGCCCGCTCAGGGTCCCCAGGGTTGTCTTTGTCACACGCCCCAGGACAGTACGAGGCCAGGAACCCAGGAGGGCCCACTCAAGTAGCCACGTGCCCCTTAGGGGTGTACTGGGGTGTCGGTCTTCGATCCCTGCTGCTGAGGCTGCTGCTCACGGCGTGTGCCTGTCGGACAAGCGAGCAGGTGGGGGCGGTGTGCGCACATCGGGGAGGAGACCGAGGCGCGCGCCGCCCGCCGCCCCGAGCACCCAAGGGCGCCGGCCCCGCCGCCTCCCCGTGAGAGGACCCCCGCGCCCGCCCTCCGTGGCGCGGACTTCCTCCCCCACGGCCGCCGCCTCCGGCCTCCGCGCGGCCCCCGGTGATTTAGGAGCCCTTGCGGTTGTAATTAACGGGACGTTTGCGAGTCCAAAGCAGAAAAGTGAGTTTAATTATTCCAGAGTCAGAGGCTCATTCTCTCCCGATGACTTACGGCCTCCGGCGGCCCAGCCGCATAGCTCACCGGCCGGCAACGCGGGGGCCCATCTGAGGAATTAAATGGATCACTTGGCCAAAGCGACTCATTAGCGGTTCTGTCCCACCCGCAGTGAGCAATGGCGAGCGCGGGACGCGGGCGGACGACACCCCAGACACACGGGCGGCCGCGGCTCCCTCAGGCTGGGGTCCCGCGAGCGGACGCTGCTTCTGGGTGGCCCCGGCCCGAGGGCAGAGAGGCCGCTGCGGGGGCCGCCAGAGCACGCGGCGCCGTGTCTGGGTGGGGGCCGGCGGCCTGCGCGCACGCACAGCCGGGTCTGGCTGCTCCTGGACGGCGGCGGAGACGCGGGGAACACGGTGCCGGCTTGGAGCCCGTGACACCTGAGCTCCGAGCCTGCTCTGCCTCCCCTGGGACCTGGAGGCCGAAGGGGGCCCACAGCGACAGAGGCAGAGGACCCACCGCAGCCTGTCCGCAGGGGTGGTGGCCCCGCCCTCCTGCATCCGGAAACCCTGCAAGGGCACCCCAGACCCCCGCCTGCCAGGCCGGGCGAAACCTCACAGCCTGGATGGGTCTCACAACCACTGGCCGTGCGGCCCCCGACGCTGAACAGGTGGCTGGGTCCTGGTGCGGCATCCAAGGGCCTGACTCAGGACAAACCCCGGGGGCCACGGCCCCGTCACTCACGGGCAGAGCGCGCCTGCCCCCGCCCCCCGCCCCCGACGGGAAGGGCAGGGGTCCCCAAGGCTGGGCGGTGTCAGACCGCTGTCGTGCTGCGGGCGCCTTCAGAGAACGAGCCTCCTCCTCCTGCTCCACAGGCTCCGCGGGGGCTCGTCACCTCCCGGGAACGAGAGCCGTCCCTGCTCTTTGTTCTCAGAGGGGCGGCTGGCGCAGGAGAGAGGGCTGCTCCGCGGGGCTCTGTGCGCTGGGGCTGTCTTGATGCCCCGGCGCCAGATCCGTGCCAGGCCGCCCCGAGCCGCCGGCCCGGGGACAGAGCCCAGGCTCTGAGCGCGGCTCCGCCGGCGGCTCGGAACCCAGGGCCCTCGGCGCCCGGCGCCCCTGGCGAAGGCGGCGGCAGCAGCGGACCTGCGCGCAGGCGTTGCGCCGAGTCTGGGAACAGCCCCCCAGGGTCCCCGCCTCCCTGTGGCCACCACTCCGGGGCGAGGACAGGGCAGCGGGCACCACTCTCCGAACGGGCGCCCTCGGGAACTTCCGTTTCCACGGGGAGACAGTCGGTGCGTCGGGGCGCGGTGCCGGGCAGGCAAAGAGGAGCCGGACCTGGGGACTCCAGGACCAGGGTGCGCGGGGAGGGAGGGCCGCTGTCCCCACCCGTCACGAGGGCCGGGACACGTCCTGGCTGAGACGCGGCCCCGCCCTGCGCCTCCCTCCCCCGCCGCCCCGCAAGGCCCGAGTCCACGTCCTCCCCCCGCCGCCTGCCCGCTCCGGTCCCTCGCTGGTGCTCACCGCCCTCGTCTCTGCGCGTCCGTCCGAGCGTCCGTGTTCCCTCCTGCCCCCCAGTATTCCCTCTCCCGGGGGCAGGTCGGCCCCGGCCGCTCCCCGAGGAGCAGGGACGGTGGCCCCGGGACATTTCTCAGGCGCCACGGCGGGGCCAGGTCCCCAGTCCTGCCTGGAGCGCGGTGCCCGCCGTCAGCTCAGGTCAGCGGGACGGGCTGAGCTGAGGGCCGGCCTGGGGCGGGGCACGGGGGCGCCCGCTTCTCCTGGCTGAGAGCAGCACCCGAACCTGCGGCAGCTTCCTGTCCTTACGCTCCACGTGGCCTTCGGGAGAAGCGCCCTTTCCACGGGCGCCAGCCTCGCAGGGCGGTGGCCCGCTCAGGCGGCCGCGGGCAGAGGGCTGGAGGGCGGCCCGGGAGGATGGTCCGGCGGATGGTCCGGCGGGAGCCTCGCCCCCGGGGCAGGCCGCGCGTGACCGTCCCCGCCACAGGTGGGCAGGCCTCGCACCTTGGCTCCGTGCCCCGGCGTTCGCGTCCACGGGGGGCTCCTCCCCCGCCGGGAGCTGGCCCGCAGTGACCTCTGTCCTGTTTGCTGGCTGAGGACACCGAGGCCCGAAGCTCCCGCCCGCAGGGGCTGAGGGCCGGGGGCTGTCTCCCCGGATCGCAGCGATGGGGGACCCTCCAGGGACACCGCCCACCGGCCGCGCTGGCTGGGGGCTCGGGCGGTGCCGAGTTCTCGGGGGCCAGACTCCGAGGGGCGCGCCCGGCTCTGGGGGTGCCGCGCGTCCTGAGGTCTCCCAGCCGGGGCCCTGCAGCCCTCCGGCTTCTTTCCCCCCCGGCCCTGGGCCAGCGACGAGGGCCCAGCAGACCACGGGCGGCTCTGGGGCGGCGGGGCACCCCCGAGCACCCCCGTGACCTGCGTTCCCCGCACACAGTAACACCTGCAGGGCGCGTCACTGCCGGGCGGACAGGGGACCATGGGGGGGCCCCGCCGCCGGCCACGTCACCTGCCACGTGTGCGGACTGCAGCCCAAGGCCGCGTGCCCAGGTGCCCCTGTGCGCCCTCCCTGGCACATGCGCCTGGGCCCGCCCGGGAGGGGCGGGGGTGCAGCGGGGGTCCCCGTGGCAGCCGCTCGGCCTGCACCCTGCCCCTTCCCTCCCTCTCGGGGCCCGTCTGGCTCCGTGCCAGAGCGCAGGGGTCCCGTCTCCCCGCTGTGACGGCTCCACAGGCCAGGGACGTCGCCCCGACTCACGCACAGACTTCCCCGGCCCAGGCTCTGCTCCTCCGTGTCCTGGGACGTGTGTGGGACCCACAGACCCTGGGACAGGTGAACGCATGCGGTCTCCGGCCTTCCCTGTGGCCTGACCGGGAGGCCCCGCCCCCAGGGGGGAATGAAGTAGAGCCAGGGGACTGTTTTCTCCCCGGAGGCCGCACGCTGACCAGCGGAAGAACCGGGGCGCGGCCTGGGTGTGGGGGTCCGGGCGCTGACCACTCGCCCGGGCTGTGCATCAGGGAGCGCCCTCGGGCTCCCGGAGAAACCGGGGGGCTCGCGGGCTGAGCCCCTATGGCGGCTGGCGCCCGGGAAGGAGGGCCCCCGCCCCGCAAGCTGTGCCGTCCCCGCTGCTGGCCACGCCGGCCGCAGCCCCTCGTGCAGGACGCCACGGCCAGCGAACAGAAGCCATACTTATCAAAGGGTTTTTTCCTTTATTTTCATAATTTAGCTGAATCAACACAAAATCGGATACCGTCAAACAAGAAAAGAAATGGCTGTCACATCTGAAGTCTCCCGGTCTCTGCCCTCGAAGGCCTCTACACTCGCTGCCACCAGCAACAGGCGAGGGGGCGGGGGTGGGGGCGCGGGCGGGCGGGCCGAGGCGGCTGGGCGGGGTCAACCCCCGGGGGCCGCCGGGGACAGCGCCGCGCACACACGTGCCTCCTCCGCACCGAGACACCCGCGCCGCGGCCGGCGCCTCCACGCCAAGACACATGCCGAAGTCCGTGGTGACAGAAAGGTAAATTAAATACTCATGGGCATCAGGACAGGTCTTAAATAAATGGATTTTCTGTCCTATCTGTAGTCTACAGGTGGTGGGAACAGTCGCTATATATCTTCCCCCGTTTTAGTAGCACAGAACTAGCATAGTACTCCCGTCGGTCGGACCCGTAGGTAGTATAACGTCACCGGGGACTCAGGAGGACGAAGCGGCCCGGCAGGGACAGCCAGGGCAACGAGAAACAGAGCCGTCCCCCTCGGGGGCCTGGGGCGCGCGCTGCCCGGGAGGGCGCGGGGGGTGTGGCGCCTGCCCTCCCGCGCGCCGAGGCCCGGCCCCGCACCCCGCCGGCCACGGAGACAGGGAAGGAGCGGGGTGCCCGCGCGGGGAGGCAAGGGCGGCACGCTGCCCTCGAGGTCTGTGAACGTGACGAGTGAGAAAAAGGGACACGGTTCACCAGGAGAGGTGACATCAAAGTATTGTACACTCAGCGGCCACCACGACGGAGGCTGAAGGGACGGACTCCGGACGGCAGGTGTGGGGACACGGGCCTTCCCCGGGGCGCCCCCCGCCTGCCGGAGACGGCGCGGCGCAGCTCCTCCGCGCACGGCCCGCGTCCTGCCCGCCGTGCCGGCTCCCCGGTCCGGGTGGGGGAAGGGGGCCGCTCCCCGCCACACCCACCCGGAGGCTTCGGGGACGCGCGGCCGCGGCCGGGGCTGCCACATAGATTGTTAAATAGGATTTTCTACAAATATACAACATATAAAAACTGTTAAATATATAACTTTAGGCTTTGCAAAATACATTTAATGATCTCTTTCAAACAAGTGTTACTTTAGTTTCCTTTAATTTGCTTTCTGGAGCTAAATGGCGTATCGGATGAGACAGCGGTCGCGGGAGGCCGACCCAACATGCTCGTGGCGAATACTGGATTATCCCACTATCGGAAATGGAGCGTGGAGAGGCGTGTCTAACTGGTTAAAACAGAGCGGGTTTAGTACGGGCAGGTCCGTCTACGTACAGAGGCGCAGGCGCGCCCGGCCGTCCGTGTCCTGGGGAGGCGCGCAGGCCCCGCGAGGGGCCATGGCCCGGCGTCCCGCAGGGCGGCGGTGTCCCCCGGCGGCTCGGGCCCCCTCAGGGGGCGCCGCAGTGTCCGTGGGGCGGGGCCTCCGCGGGGCCGCCCTCTCCGCCGCGCCGGGCCACCAGCGTGTCTCTGCCCCTGGGCCCCCGGTCGGACCCAGGGGCTTCGGACGTGGGGGCGAGTCCACGTTAAAATAGATTTGCTCTTTGGCCTATCGAGTATGTACTGAAAGGGTAAGAAAATAAAAGCGATTCGGACAGTCTGGAGCCCAAGGAGAGGCCGCTTCTGCGCCCGCAAGGCAGTCCCGGGCCCGGCGCCGTCCTCGCCTCTCCGGCCGCCGCCTCCTGCTCGTCCGCGTCGTCCTCTGCGGGGCGCAGCCAGGGTCTGGCCAGGGCGGGCAGGCGAGGCTGGGCTCCCAGGGGCCCGGCGCCCCTGCCGCCCGCGTCCCGGGCCGGCTCCCTGTGCCGCCGGGCAGACTCAGCTCAGGCGGCCCGGGACGCGGGCTGTCCGTGCCGGGCTGCGGGGAAACGGAGGGCCGGTCGACGGCGGAGCGCGGGGGGCCTCTGCAGCAGCAGGGCCGCGGCCCAGGGGCGGGCTCTCCGGGCGGCCGAGGCCCCTCGCGGGCCCCTCTGGGGCTGTGTTTGTCAGGAGACCTGCGGGGCAAACAGAAGAGGGCAGTCAGCTCCCCAGACACGCAGGGTCCTCGTCGGGGCGGCGTGTACCCAGCAACGTCCCCAGGGCCGGCCTGGCTGGGACAGCGCCCTGGCCGGGGCCGGCTGGCCTCCTCTGGGACATAACACTACATGGGGACCTGCCTCCCGCTGCGTCCCGGGTGGGAGCCCCTCGCGCACGATGACAGGAAGGCACAGGACCGGCTGGGCGTGGGTCCGGTCCCCGCCACAGGTTTCCCTCATGGGGCCGCCCACTGCCGCACGCACTTGGCAGGCGCCGCCAGGGGCACGTGGCGGGGGGTGCGTAGCGCCCGGGGAACCCCTGGGAGACTGCAGAACTGGGGAGGCGGGCACACCCCTGGCCTGTGGGACCCCAGCATCCCAGAACCTGGGAACCAGCTCGGAGTGGCCAGCTAACAGCTGCCAGGTCTCAAGTGACAGTCCCAGGTCACAGCTCTGGGGTGGTGGAAATGCCACCTTTGAAAGAGCAGAGACAGAAGAGTCGCAGATCCCCAGGGCCTCGCGCCCTGGGACCCATGTCTGGCTCCCTCCCGTGGCCCTGCTGGGCTGCTGGCCCTCCTTGTCGGGGGCCACAGACACGCCACACAGCCCCGGCCCGGCGCCGGACGAGCCCCGGACGCACGGCCCGAAGACGGGGGCTGGCAGCAGCCAGGGGCCCCCACCCCCCGTAAGCACTGGCTGAGCCCACGGGGTTGGCACAGCGCCCCCCGCAGCTCCTCCCGGACTCTGCGTGTGTCCCCTCCCGCGGTCCCGGCCCGCAGAGGAAGGGCGACGGGGGACGATGTGGAAGGGGACCGAGCGCCCTGCCAGGCTGGCAGCGACACCTGGCCCTGGAGACCCGGGTGAGGGTGGGGGTGTCTTTGGGGGCCCCAGGCAGAGCTGCCAGCCTCCGAAGGCAGCGCCCCGGGGACATGAGCGCGCGGGGGCAGGGCCTGGAAGCTTTGGAACCGACGGTCTCCCCACCCACGCTCCTCCTTCGGCAGCTCCTGCTCTCAAGAAAAACACTCTGTTCCCGGCACCTGCTGCTCCACCTTCGTTGTCGGCGGCGGACGTGCCGGCGGCCCGTGGACCCTGGGACGCGCAGGCCTCACCTGGAGTGGCCGGGAGTGCGCTCCTCTGCGTAGCTGACCCGGCTCCCAGCTCTGGCCCCGACGGACGCCCCTCCTTTCGGCGAGCGTGGGGCTGCCCTGGCAGGGCCCCCGGGAGGCCATCGGGGAGCCTGCGGGCTGCAAACGTGCTGCCTGCACCCTGGGGGGCTGGGGCCCGGCGGGGCCGCAGTCTGAGGAGTCGCACACTTCGCGGTTGAGTTACACCCCGGTGTTTAAAACGGGGACAGTCGGGGCAGGTCCCGGTGTCCCCCTCCCGCCACGCCAAGGCCCCTCCCCAGCCGGGCCTGGAGGCCCCGGGCTGACGGCCGCGCCTGTGCCTGCTCTTGGAGCTTCAAGGTGCGGCCCCTACGTGACAGCCGCCCTCCCCTCCACAGAGGGTCCTTCAACACCCCCTCTGCTCAGCAAGGAAGCCCCCACTCGGCAGCGAGCAGGAGGGTGGGGACCCCCCCACCTCAAGCCGGGCGCCCGGCCCCCGGACGGCCACGGGGCCGCGGGCTCGGTCTCATGCTGCCCTGACGAGGGCAGGAGCAGCGTTCAGCCGAGGGTGGCCCTGTCCCCGCAGGGCACAGTCCCAGCCCCTCCAGGTTGGTGCTTGGAGCAGCGCAGCCCCGTCCATGTCCTCGGCGGGGGGCTGGGGGAACCGGAAGCGTCAGCGTCCCCCTGCCTCTGGTGCCACACCCCATGGGGACGCCCCCAGCGTGGCCCCGCAGCCAGGCCGCCCCAGCTCTGTGGCAGGGGTGGCCGCCACCCCCCCAACGCTTCGTTTGTGCCTGCCACCGCGGGCTCTCCAGGCAGCGCTTTGCAAGGGGGTGTTGGCAGGTGCGGACGGCTCTGTGGCCTTGGAGCCACGTCCTGTTTGTCCCTGGGCTGGGCTCCCGGGCCAGCTCGGCCTTGGAGGTTGCGCCCGCGCCCACACTGACTGCCGCAGTCCCCGGTGGCCCCAGGGGACCACGGCCCTGGCCACGGCGGCTCGCAGCGGCCTCCTGTCCCCACTTCACAGGCAACGCGATCAAGGGCACCGCGGACGGCAGAGCCGGCGGGAGGCGGCTCTTCAAAGGAGCCTCGGAGACTCCGGCCCACACGGCGCTCTCAGCAGCCGCGGGGGCGGGCGAGGGGCTCCTGAAGCTTGGGATCAAAGCCCCTTCCCGGGGCCACTTCCTCCGTCCACCGTCTGAGTCCTTGTGGGGGCGGGGAGGTCACCCGTGCGCCAGCCAGGGTTGCCCAGCGGCCGGACGGGGCTTGCCGGCCCGGCCCCTGTGGCTCAGATCGCCGTTCCCTGGGCTGCGGTCACGCACCATGCGGCCGCCTTGCGGAGGGTCCGTTCAGTGGCGCCCGACTATCACAGCTGTGCAACCCCTGTCCCCCTGCCCGCTGCCCGTCCCCATCGGCGCCGCCAGCCGCTGTGCACTCACCTCCCCCGGACGCTTCCAGGCAACGGGACCACAGGGCGGGGGGCCCGCCATGCCTGCCGCCCTCGCCGGGCCAGGAGCTCTCCGGGCGCCCCTCCCCCGCAGCGTGCGTCCACCCGTCCCTCTTCTCAGCTGCACGACACTCCTGGGGACGGCTGCCCGCGCGTTGGCAGGCGGGCGCCCCTGGGGCTCTGACCGCCCCGCAGGCCTCAGTGGCTCCGCCGAGGACGCGCCCAGGAGCAGGAAGGCAGCATCGCAGGTGACTCAGAGCTCAACCTCCCAGGCAGCTGCCGCGCTGTGTCCCGGGGGCGGGGGCGTGCTCTCTGGCTCTCTCCACAGACGGCTGCCAAGCCACGTTCTTACCAGCAGCTGCTGACGGCCCCCCGCCGTGGGTCAGCCCGAGCCCTGGCGGCGACTCTTGTCACGCTCTCCGCTGCGGTCCCCATGTCGCGTCAGAACTCGAGGCCCCTGCTCTGCCAGACGCCGGCCTCCAGCCACTCCGATGCGGGTGAGCAGCGGGGCGCAGACTCGGACCGGGCAGCTGCCACCTGCCCTGGTCCCCAGCGTCCCAAAGCCTTCCTGCACATGGTGACTGACACTTGCAGGTAACATGCAGAAGCATTTTGTAACATCCGAGAACCTCACTGGAGACTTGACTGAAACTGCATTAAACCTGAGGACGGATGGCCACAGCAGAGGGCTGGCTGGCTTCCGCCTGTCCGGTCGTCTTCTCCGGTTTCTTGCCATGAGGCTTGGCCGAGTTCTCCATGGAAGGACCAACCCTTTCTCAACAGTCTTCGAGGTATTCCACGTCCTTCCGCTGTTGTTCCCGAGCTCTCTCCTTTCCTGCGCGCGCACTTCTATTTTACTCATACCCACTGACGCGCCCCGCACAGCCGCTCGGAAGCAGGCCAGCCTCCGGCTGTGGCCGGCAGCGCCGGCTCCGCGCCCACGGGTGGGACGCAGGCATCTGCCCCGGGGCTGCTTGCAGAGTGCCCCGGGCTCACCCCTGGGGGACACTCCGGGTGGCTCCCCCCCGCACACCCAGGAGGCACGGCGGGTGGACTCTCACTCATCCTGTGTGGGGAGGGCAAACATGTCCCGGGAGGGGACACGCCATACGCACCGTCACCTCTGCGGGCCAGGGTGTCTCCCGCCAGGACTCGGCTCAGCCACGGCAGCGCAGACACGTCCACAGACGACGAGTCCGTGAACGAGCAAGGCTGTGCGCCAATAGAACTTCACACAGACAGGGAGGGGGCGGGGTCTGCCGGCCTCTGATCTAGGCTGCGCTGTTGGCAGACAGGACGCTCAGAACTGAATCCGAGCGCAGAACCTTCTGTGGTCCTAAGCTCCGCCCTCACTCTCCAGGGCATTCCGGTGTATTTCCTCAAATCAAACATTCGCATCGCAGCCTTTGCTGGGGTTCCCCAAAGGAGAGCAGTCGTGGGACGGCTGCTGGCCCGCCGCCGGGGACCAGGATGCAGGGGCGGGGCCTGACCTCCAGGCCCGGGGCCTCAGGGGACGTCCGGTCCTGCAGCTGCCTGCTCCTGCCGGGCGGTGCTCTCCCTCAGTCGGTGTGTGTCTGGGAAGCGAGTCTGGTGTCTGCCTGCGACTTCTGCCGGTTCGGACACGTGTTTTATTCATCTCCTGAGAGGGCCGGGCGCCCTGCTGATTCTGAAATGTTAAAACGCGCCTTCATCTCTCGCAGGCACCCGCGGGCGCGGGCGCCTTCATCCTCTCGAAGGACAGCAGGACGCGGTACGCGTTTCAGGCAGGCCCCGGCGGTCGGTGTCCCCGTCACCTCTGCGCCGGGGGGTGCATGTTACAGGGGGCGGGGTCCCCGAGATTTATGAGCAACCCCCCAAAAGGCCACGCATGTGGGGCCTCACCGGCACTTCGCTGGGTGAACTGTGCCCGGGCCACCACACAGACTCACGGTCTCTGACAAATGAGGTGACTTTGTCGTGAACTTTCCCTCTTCGGGGCCATTTCTGGTCTCTGGGCTTCCTTGGTCCCTACAAAGAACTAGTCCATTTTTCCAGTATTTTGGGAAAAGATACCTACAGTCAATGTTTCCAAGCACATGGCTATTAAATCCAAGTCTGGAACTTCTACTGGAGGACACGAACGTTTTTCTACTTCTTTAGCTATTTTCGCTAATTTCCTCCCAGAAAATCATACATTGAATCAAATTTTCCAGATTTAGCAATCAATACACTAGCCCTGTATGTGCTCTCTTGGATAATTCGAGACTCCAGTACATGCTGATTTGTCTTGTCTTCCTTTTAGATTTTCTACCTTATAAAAAATTGTACATGACAGAGATAAAGATGCATTTTTATAGTTTTTCCGGAGATGCAACGATCAATCCCGTAGCTTTCTTCTTAAAATTCATGACTCTTTCTTTTCCGTGTTTACTACTTTCTCCTTTTTCTGAGGG